ACCTAAAGATACTGACATCAGAGGCTGTGAGAAAAACTTGGCCCTACTACATGGGTGGGAAACCTTTTTTCTGTCAAGGGCCTTTTGAATATTTATTACATCATTCTTGGGCCATACAAAATTATCAACTTAAAAATTAGACTGCTATATTTGGGTTAAACATTTCATTAACTCACCCCTAATGTCATCAGAACTAAACCAAATGACTTATCAGGTCTTATATGCCCTGAGGGTTGTACAATGCCCAGCATTACCTTACAATAAGGCCTACAATCACAACTTATATTCATATGCACAGAGCTTCCAACCACTTTTTTGGTGGTCAATTCTCTCATGGCTGAATGGCCAAGGTTCAAGAAACATTTGAGAAAAGTCAAAAGCTAAAAATCAACTTAAAACATAAATCTGACGCCCTGTCCAGATGGTTGGTTCAGGTAGTTGAGTGCCATCCAGGTTGTGGGTTTCATGTCCAGGTTGTGAGTTTCATTCCCAGAGAGGACAAAATTAGGTTTCAGGTTCCATCCCTTATCAGGATGCACAGGGAAGGTAACCAATCAATGTTTCTCAGATCAGTGTTTCTCTGTTTCTTTCTTTCTTTCTCTCTCTCTCTCTCTCTCTCTCTCTCTCTCTCTCTCTCTCTCTCTCTTTCTAAAATTAATAAAGTCATATCCTCAGGTGAAGAATAAAAAAAAAAATCTAAGAAAACAGAGTATGCAGGGAAAATAAACCTATCATTAATATTATTTTGAAAGACAAAGGGGGGAATAAATATTGCATCATTACATGCATGAACAAAAACAGGATGCTACAGTTAAAATTGAAGACAATCTTCTTGGCTAAAGTAATAAAAGTGCAATATGCTAATTAAACCAGACATCCTTTTGGACAAAGCCATGGCGGGCAGGGGCCAAGGCCCTTGCACGAATTTTGGGCTTCAGGACTCTAGTTAACAGTATAACAGCAGAAATGAAAAAGTACATGTTAGGGTTATAAGGCTAAAAGTATCTCCCAAAATATGGAAGACAGATATAAGGGAGAAAATATAAAAAATGAAAAGACCAACATAAGAGGTCTAATATTTGAACAGGGGGTCCAGAAGGCATAAGTAGAAAGAAACTTAAAAATAATAGAAGAGAATATTCCAGAAGGGAAGGCTATGTGCTTCCAGATTAAGAGGGTACAAATGAATGCCTGGAACAATGGATGATAATAGACCAAGAACAAAGTTATGCAATTTGAGAATAATGTTGACAAAGCCTTTAAATACTTTCATAGAGAAAAATTATGTATGTACACTCATGGATGTAAAATATTTTAAGAGAAGGATGTGTTCAATTTTTTCGTACACATACATGTTACCCACCAGTCACTTCTCTCTTGCCCCTTGCTCCAAATTATATAATTACACAATTTTTTTCGTCGATTGACTATTTTTATACTTCTTAAACTTCATCTTCTTTCATTTTACTAACAAAACCAAAACAATAAAACCTATTTGTGAAGTATATAAAAGACTTTAATGAATGTCAAATGTTTATCATCATGAAGCACTATAGTAAACACATGGAGGGTTATTTGTAATATTTCTCTCATCTTGTTAGTATGTTTGAAAATTTACTTAATTAAAAGTTTAAAAAAATTTAAAAGATTCCTCAATCTCTCTCTCTCTCTCTCTCGCCATTTCTCTCTCTCTTTTTTTCTTTGTATAAGCCAAATTTGCCCATGCTATTCTACTCAAGAATTTTCAAATAGCTTCCTATCCCTTACACAAATGTCTGGTAGGCTAGTTTAAGATTAAGGTCTTTCTCATTATGGCCCTAATTCTACCATTTCCAGGCTATTCTATAATTCCTCTCACCCTCCTCCATTGTCCTTTCATGCACTATCTGGTTTTGTTCATGCTGCTCTCTGAGAATAATGTTCTATATTCCTTCTCTCCTAATAAAAACTCTCATCTTTCAATTATGACCTCTCTTATCTTGCTTGACTTCACAATGTAGGATAAGTCACTCTCTCCTCTGAACTCCTTACTGTACTTTGTCAAAGCCATCAACATAACATTTGTCACAATATATCGTGGCTCCTTCATACGGACACTTCATTGACTGAAATCATGAGCCCCTGATGTGCATGGCACTCATCATGAGCTCCTTGAACATAGAAACTCTTTCTGTAACATCTAACACAATGCTACATACACTGGAAATGCTCGTATAACAGGAAAGTTGGGGAAGGTATTTTTCTTCTCTTGCTCACCAATCCTAATAATTCCAGTTCAAATGGTGGATAAATGGGTCAGAGCTTGGACTTTCTTTATCCAAACACAATACAAAATGAGGTTAGAATAGTATTAACTTATAAAATCACTCTCCTGTTCACAATAGGCTGTAACTTCTCTAACTCATAGTCTTTGTTTCTAGGCTTTCTAGAATTCAACCACATTCCACAAAGCCATCTCTCTTCTCCTTTCCAAAAAGAATTCTCTGATCCAATAATACTAATTATTTAAATAATTCTCTCATTTAATTCTACTCAATTAAGACATGTTTCTTTGTCCAAGCCATTTCCTAAATCTCCAATGTTTTCTTCTCTTTTCCATACTCTCAAGGCTTTAAGTTGCATATATTTCTCTATCATTAAAGCAGACTTTAATCTTAAAACATACACACCCACAGACACACACACTGCACACACACACACACACCAGAAATAGAATAAACCAACGCAATTTCTAATCCCAAAGTACTTTTTAACTCTCATTTCTCCAATTTCTATAGCATTTTGTCCAATATACACTTAGCACTAAATATGTAAGAAATTTGCCTCTGCATATTTGAAATACCAATTATATCTTAAATTTTTTATACTCTACAGAGTTTCAGAATAGATAATAAAAGAGAAGAATCAATCCCACAGAAATCTGAACAAGGATATATCTTAAACTTAATGTGACAGAAACTTTTCTGAAATTAGAATGTAAATCAAATTATAGCCTAAAATGCCAAACACTCCCACACACCATTAGTTGCAGATTTTGACCATTATCAATGAAACATATCCTAAAAACCTCAATATACATAAAGAAAAAAATGTGAGCCATTCATATTAAAATACATAACCTATTGATTTTTAATAGGTGATATTTAACCACATTATTGAGACAGGACCGATTATTAGACTACACCGATCAAATTCATGCCCTTATTAATTCAGAATCTAATAAATCAGAATGAAACAATGACTTCCTATCATATAACCTAAAGAAACTTCAAAAATAATTTTTCAATGGACAGTATGAATATTAAAAAACTCATTCACAATGGCTACCTTCAATATGAGACCAGTCCCTAGGAGTTTCTTTTTTATTTTTTAGTTTATGAAGTTCACTGCAAAAAGACCAAGTATATAGAAGCTGGCAGTTTACAAAGGAACTTCTCATTTCTGTTAGAAGAAAATACAAAGCAATACTGCAAATGAACTATTTCATCATCAAAACAATTTTTTTTATCTATTCATAGTAATCATATATAACAATTAGAGAATTAGAGGCCTGATGCAGGAAAGAGTAGACCTTCCCTTCCCTGCCTGCAGGCACCTGCTTCCCTCATAGCCCCGGCTTCATCAGGAAGGTTGTCCAGTTTAATTAGCATATTACGCTTTTATTATTATAGATAAATGTCTAAATAAGTAGATATCACCAAAAAGAACCTGATGACCACTTAAAGTATGAAAAACAGCATCACACACTTTCAAAATAGTTCCCGCAGAACAAGCAGCGAATACCCAGAATAGAACGTAAATTACAAGTCAAATTCTCTACACAAAACTGTGTTCCAGCAGAGTAGCTACATCTGTGGATACAGCACATGTATAAGGCACTATTTCAGTGGACAGAGCTGCAGTCCCAAAAGCACAAAAAAGTTCCTGTCCAAAAATTTCCCTAAATATACAAATCAATCTAAAAGCCACTCCCAATCTTCATCCCAGTGTCATTCAATACAAGTATCAATAATTAAGAATTAAGGTCAAGAAAGCAGTACACAAACAGGTTTTGAGAAGAGTAGGTTGCTATGTATTGCAGAAGTATGAATATATATTATTCTTTGGATTAGGTCTGTGATTATAAGAAATGAAGAAGCCAGAAGTCAAGACCTGACACCCAAGTGGTAATACTATCAACATGCAAGTCCCTCACTAAACCCTACTCCTCTTTTAGTATTAATTTAAAAGTTAATGGTTTTATCCTATTTAATCCTAATTTATCTCTTAAGAGACTCTCAAAGAATAAGGAAGATTCCTGATCTATCTTTACACCAATAATCTCAGTTGTCAAGCTGATAATAAGCCATCTTCCTTACCATTTTTAAAAATAAAATTAGGTAAAATAAATCCCTAAATCTGATAAAGATTATAGTGTGATCCACAATGAGCTTAACCTACTGGTGTGAACTAATATCTACAACAAACATATACTAATTCAAATGCTTGCAAAAGTGGAGATAAAACATCAGCAACTTTGTAAGTCACCAAGAAGCTGAAGGTTTGGGAAAAAGGAGTTATTCCACTTTATTATTGTCCTTAAGTAATGGTATGGAAGCAGACTCAAGAACAAAATAATGAGAGCAACCAAGAACAATTTACTAAAATTCACCTTCAAAAGATTGAATCTGCCATCTTGGATCTCTACACCTGGTATACTTTCCATAGTACAGTCTTTGGCCTAAGTTAAATTGCATTTCCCCATTAAGATACTACATAATCTTTAATTGATAGGTCATATAAAGACAAACTAGCTGTGGCTAATCTGAGACTTAAACAAAGATCATCAGAAAATCATTAATATGAAACTGAAGGGGAAAAAACCCAACATGGTAACAACAACAGAATTTTTAAACTATCTTATAGCTTTTAACCACATTTAAAGGAAAAAGTGATTTATTTAGAAGTAATATTGAAATCGTAGAAAATGCTGGGATATTTTGGAACATTTTATTAATTACCGTAATTTTATTTGTAGTAGAGGTAACTGGTATAACTTCAAGTCCCATTCGTATCCTCTTTTGTTTTTCACAGTAAGCTTTCCAGGTATCTTCATTAAACCCATAATTAAAATAATCAGAAAGATCAGCACCTAAAGATAAAACACACTTTTAGTATACAAATGTTTCAAGTCTACTGTTTTGCAGCATATAAAATTTAATAATCTGTAAAATATAAATTTAGAGTTCTATTAGTCTTATCACTCTTTCTAATTTTACCAGCTCTCCCAATTACCATAAAGCAACAAAATTTTAAGAACTTTTTCTCAGAATTATTTCCTTTAGAAATGCATTATAATAAAATATGCAAGTCTACTTTACTATAATGCTAGGCTCACAGCAAGATTAAATTCATTATTAATGATTATTACATTAATTCATTATTATTCACCTGAGCTCAAGACTACAAAAATGACATTAAAACAATAATATCCTAAACTGATATTGAAAAATACTTTCTAATGACTGTTTATACTATAAATCTTTTGAAACCGATATAATCCACCATAAGCTTACCAGGTTTACGCCATGGTTTATCTTCAAAAGAATCCAAATCTACCTCCGAGAGTGGAACTCCATTAATGCTTCCAGGTGCATCAAGGTCTACTCCTTTGACTTTTGATCCTATTTTATAAAATTACAAAATGGTAAAAAAGCTACATTAGCAAGAGGCTAAGAGATATACTGACACCTTTTTACTAGCACTCAATATGGCTAACGTTCCAAAACAAAGCACTGGAGTAATGTTTACCATACTGATACATAAAAGTTAAACTTTATGGTATAGCTATAACATAAAATGGATAGAGAGATTAGGGACTTGTTCTTTACAATAAGGGATTCCTGTACCACTATGAAATTGCTAACTTGCATGTTTTATATCACTTTTTGTACAGTCTGTGAGATAAGAAATGCTTTTACCTTTTAAATAGTTGTATCACAAACAAGTTAAATAAACAAGCAAAACATGATGGCAGGAATCCTATATGGCCCATATAGCCTAAAATATTTATTACCTAACCTATGCTATATGGTCAAAACTGGCATTTTTAATTGACCTATTACAACCTATCACCTACTCAGATATATGTCTTATTTTCCTATTGATAGAGCTGCAAATAAAAAGTTTACCTGTAGTTCCATAAACTCTTCCTCCTGTCTTGATGTTAAGATTTACAGGTGCTGTACCATAACTCCTAAAACCAAAATAAAAATTATCCTGAGAAACTTAAACAGAAATAGCAATACATATAATTATACAAATTATACAATCACATAGTAACTGAATAAACTGACAATGACTCTCACATTTTAGAAAAAGTTTTAAACTAATTTCAAAGTCTGTCATTTCCTGAATAAAAGATAAAAATATTATTTAAAAGTCTGACTTGTTTTCCCATCTCAGAAACCTACCTGCCACTAACTCAATATCCCACTATAGCACACTTCACAGAAAATTTGGCTGGGAAGAAAATAGTTTATGCTTTTTCCTCATTCCTCATCTCCTAGTTGATGCAACATACACAGCCATCTGCAAGAATAAAATTTCTCTACCTTATTCCCAAATACAGTGATCTCCCTTTACTCCTTCCTGCACCTTCTATTGTTGATAAATCCTCTTTCAAATACCCATGGAGAGGAGAAACCAAGATGGCAGCATGGGTAAAAACCTAAACTGCAGACTCGCACAACAATTTTCAAAAATACAACTAAAAGAAAAAACAGCGGAAAATGGTTTGGCTCAGTGGATAGAGCGTCGGCTTGGGGACTGAAAGGTCCCGGGTTCGATTCCGATCAAGGGCATGTACCTTGGTTGCGGGCACATCCCCAGTAGGGGGTGTGCAAGAGGCAGCTGATCGATGATTCTCATCGATGTTTCTAACTCCCTATCTCTCTCTCTCTCTTCCTCTCTGTATAAAATCAATAAAATATATTTTAAAAAATAAATAAATAAAAATAAAAGACAAAACAGACATTATCCAGAACCACAGGAAAGCTGACTGACTGGAAATTCTACAACTACCGTGTTTCCCCGAAAATAAGACCTACTTACAGGTTTCCTTTTGAGTGAAATATAAGGCACCCCACCAAAAGTAAACGCACCCTCCCCCACCCAGGCTCTGTCTCAGAAACTTTGTGAAACCTAAACTGCAACAAGTTGTGACTTGGTTGAAGAATTCATGGGAGAAAATCACTGACAGTTGCATTGCAAATGCACTGCAAGCAGGCTACCTTGACAAGAAGTACTCATTTAAAGACAGTGCTATTACTAAACATGAAAGATTTGGCCCACTGATTCTGAAAGAAATGGAGTCACAAGAAATTCACCAGGAAATTCAGGAATTGGATTGTTATGATGATGTTCCAGAAGATGATGACATGATTGTCATTGAATAAACAAGTAAATTCTTGATACTGTAGGATTCACAGTTTGTCTGGTTTGTGTTGACAACTACCGTACCGTATCCAGGTAATAAATTTCCTTTATTTTCATTTAACAATAAATGTGTACCGTATTCTTCTTCATGGAAAAATAAGACATCCCCTGAAAATAAGACCTAGCGCATCTTTGGGAGCAAAAGTTAATATAAGACACTGTCTTATTTTCGAGGAAACAGAGTAGAAGGAAAGAGAAAACCACAAGGAAAATCAGAGGAGCTGTAAAAGACTGAGGTACAGAGACACAGGCGCGCACAGATAGGATGGAGCCGGAGAGGACAGGGCGGCATAGTGCCTGGCTGGCTTTCTCTAGTGGGAAGGAGATAAAAGCTCAGTCTGGGCTGAACCCCAGTTCCGAATGCACTGAACTCCAGTTCCAGGAAAGACCCTAGGGACCCAGGCTCATATGGGGAGAATCTGGGTTGCTGTAAGGCAGAAACTCAGGGGAGTGGTGAAAGGCAGAGCTCCGGAGGCACGCACATGAATGAGCACAGAGGACGGACTATTGACTGTGCCACTGGATTGTCCTAGCAGGAAGGAGAAAAAAGCTCCGGACTGCACTGAACCACAGTTCTGACTGCTCTGAACCCCAATTCCAGGTGAGAATCTGGGAATCCAGATTCATTGGGGGAGAGACTAAACTGCCTGGCAGCTGGCAAAACGTGAGGGCACCTTTCTCTCAGAGGTGCATGCAGCCATAGGGCAGGGCTGACAGGAAGCCAAGGCTGTAGGCTGTACCTTGAAACTCTGCCCCATCCAAGCTGAGCACAGAGGCTTCTGCAATTTTGCAAGCCTAATCAAATAAGGCCGTCACTTGGCATAAACACAGCTAATCCTCACAGCCAATTGGCCTGGAAGTCAAATCCTCCCACTGATACCAACAACAATCAAGACTTAATTACAACAAGGCTGTACACACAGTCCACAAAGAGGAGCAACAAGTGTCTACCTCAGGTAACTAGGGACTGGCTCATATAGGACACCTAGCACAAAAAGCTACACTACCAACTCAGGGAAGCAATGAAAATGCAGAGACAAAGAAACAGATCACAAATGAAAGAAATGGAGGAAAATAAAGAACTGGAGATAGAGTTCAAAACCATGGTTATAAGGTTTTTCAAGAATTTCCTAGACAAGGCCAATAAATTTAGTGAGACCCTCGAGTATATGAGAGAGACCTCAAGGATATGGAAAAGGACCAACTAGAAATTAAACATACACTGACTGAAATAAAAAATATAGAGACACCCAACAGCAAACTAGAGGAACTCAAGAATCAAGTCAAAGATTTGAAATACAAAGAAGCAAAAATCACTCAACAGGAAAAGCTAAAAGAAAAAATAATCCAAAAATTTGAAGACAGTGTAAGAAGCCTTTGGGACAACTTCAAGTGTACCAGCATCAGAATTATGGGGGTGCCAGAAGAAGAGAAAGCAAAATACTGAAAACCTATTGGAAGAAATGACTGAAAACTTCCCCCACCTGGTGAAAGAAATAAACTTACAAGTCCAGGAAGCACACAGAACCCCAAACAAAAGGCATCCAAAAAGGACCACACCAAGACACATCATAATTATAATGCCAAGAGCAAAAGACAGAGAGAGAATATTAAAAGCAGAAAGAGAAAAACAGTTAATTACCTACAAGGGAGCACCCATACGATTGTCAGCTGATTTCTCAACAGAAACTATGCAGGCCAGATGCGAGTGGCAAGAAATAGTCAAAGTGATGATTAGCAACAGCCTACAACCAAGAGTACTCTACCCAGCCAAGCTGACATTCAGAATTGAAGGTCAGCTAAAGAGCTTCAAAAATAAGAAAAAGTTAAAGGAGTTCATCAACACCAAACCAGTATTATATGAATGCTGAAAGGTATTCTTTAAGAAGAGGAAGAAGAAAAAGGTAGATATAAATTATGAACAACAAATACATATCTATCAACAAGTGAATCTAAAAATATAGTGAATTAAAAATCTGATGTACAGAATAAACTGGTGAACATAATAGAATCAGGGGCATAGAAAGGGAGTAGACTGACAAATCATGAAAAGGATGTGGGGGGTGTGGGAAGAGACTGGACAAAAATCGTACTCCTATGGATGAGGACAGTGGTGAAGGGGAGATAAGGGAAGAGGGTGGGATGGGAACCAGGTGGAGGGGGAAAAGAGGAATTATGGGGGAGGAAAGAGGACAATTGTAATAATCTGAACAATAAAGTGAGTTCCTGAAATAAAAAACTTCTGCAAACAAAGGCTCTACTGAAGAGATAAAATATAGGGGTGGGAAAAGTAGATTTACAGTTGTGAATATAGTAAACAATGTATTTTTATATTATTATTTATTACTAATTATATTATCATCAGCATCATCATTAACCTACTTTTGCCCACACATCTTCAAATGTACTGATGCGTATTGTGTGTGTGTGTATATATATATATATATATATATATATATATATATATAGGTTGATTCCAGGTAAGGCTGCTTAACCTGTTAACTGGGGAGTTCCCTTTTTAATGACGCAACCTGTAATGGGCGCATACTCTTTCACTAGGATGTGTCAGTACGTCATGCCCAGAGGACGTAATTTCATATTTTTTTTTATTTATACTTAATGAAAATAAATGAAATATATATATATATATATTTGTTTATTTATATATATATATAAAGCACAAAGGAAAATACAAAATTACTAAAAAAATAGAAAAGAATACCGATAAAAAAAAAAAATGGACACGTCGAATTAAAAAATTATAAATTTTACAAAATGATAAAGATTACAAAAAATAGCCAAAACCGGTTTGGCTCAGTGGATAGAGCGTCGGCCTTCGGACCTAAAGGTCCTGGGTTCGATTCCAGTCAAGGGTATGTACCTTGGTTGCCGGCACATCCCCAGTGGGGGATGTGCAAGAGGCAGCTAATCGGATGTTTCTCTCTCATCTCATTGATATTTCTAACACTCTATCCGCCCTCTTTTCTTCCTCTCTGTAAAAAATCAATAAATTATTAAAAAAAAAAAAAGATTACAAAAAGTATTAATTAAAAAAAAAAAAAAGATTACAAAAAGTATATACCGTCCCTCTCGGGGCGCAACATATATTTCAAGAACGTATTCATACGTCCTACCCGTTCCCGATATTGTTTATGTTTGACGTATTTATAGGTCCCGCTCAGTTAACAGGTTAATAAACTATATTTTATGTGCCCAATGGACAACTACATTGTACATCCAACCTAAAAAACACAGAATACAACCTTGGCTATTATGCTAACACCAAAACAAAATCACCTGTACTTTAATATATTCCCTTCCAATATTTCCGAAAGATTTTATACATACTTAATGAGTCATTCACTTCAGAATTTTACTAAAAAAAAGTCTACAGGATAATTAATAATTTAAAAAAAACACTGATAATCAAAGAGCAATATTGTTGATATTGTTTTACTAGACCAAAAAATTAAAAACCTAAACTCAGCTTTGGATAAGTAATAAAATCACAAAACAATACAAATGCAAACTGCAAATTAAGGTTTTCTAATTCCAACTAAAGAATTTATTGTATTCAATTCATTTATAAAAACTTTAATTTCAGGAATCAAAAATACTGCTACTCCCATGTAACTTTACCTAATTATCTTTATAAAAGAAATATTGTCATGGTGAAATTCCTTTTATCATAGGCTGCAACTAAAATCTAACATTTACTGTGCCCACGTTGTGGGGCTTAATCCCCAATAGTAATCCCCAATAGAGGGCATACATGAGGCAGCCAATCGATTATTCTCTTTTATCACAGGCGTTTCTATCTCTCTCTACCTCTCCCTCTTTGAAATCAAATAATAATAGTAATTTCAGGTTACAACATGATGCAATGTGTTTCAATTAAATCAACCACTAATGGCTTGAAAAAAGCATACTATCTTTGATTTAGTCACACAATTATTACTTAAAAATAACTTACCCATACTGTGGTGCTCCCGTTTTAATGTCTCCTATAGTGACATGGACATCATCCTCATCATCATCACTGTCACTATCACTATCATCTTCAGTCTCAGTCACTTTCTATACCAACATAAACAATTATGAAATACATTCAATAATCCAATTCAATATTTGATATGAATAAATGAAAAAAATAACCATTTTGCAATTAAGCTACAGATTTACAAAAAAAAGTTAAAAGCTCACAGAACTGATCCTTATTTCAATTCATTTATAACTTCAATGATTTACATGGTAAAAAGGATAAGAATGTGAAAACCTTTTTTACCGTCATCATTTTATCATTTATAACTGCTCCTTTTGCAAAAAGAATCTATCGCAATTTACTAATATACAGAGAAGATAAAATTATTAAAAAGTATTTGAGAAGTTCTTGGTGAAAAGAATATATAAAGTTAAGAGGAAAACAATTTTAACAGTCAGTGTCAAGGTGAAAACCACCAAATAGCCCTGGCCAATGTTCCTCAGTGGCAGAGCACTGGCCAGAGAACCTGAAGCTCGTGCGTGTGATTTCCAGCCAGGGCGGATTCCTGGGCAGTAGGGTCCTTATTGGCCTAGTGAGGGCGTGTGTGAGAAGAAACCAATTTAATGTTTCTCTTCCCCTCAAATCCCCGCCCACTTGCTCTAAAAAAATCAATGGGAAAAATATCCTTAGGTGAAGATTAAAAAAATTTTTAGCCGAAACCAGTTTGGCTCAGTGGATAGAGCATCAGTCTGTGGACTGAAATGTCCCAGGTTCGATTCCGGTCAAGGGCATGTACATTGGTTGCGGGCACATCCCCAGAGGGAGTGTGCAGCAGGCAGCTGGTCGATGTTTCTCTCTCATTGATGTTTCTGGCTCTCTATCCCTCTCTCTTCCTCTGTAAAATATCAATAAAATATATTTTTTAAAAAAATTTTTTAAAAAGCACCAAATAGTTAGAGAGCACCTCACTTATACCTGGAATGTATTTACACCTATAAGAGACCCTGCATGCAAATGGTTGAGGGAATACTTTGTTTCTATAAGTAAAAGAAAGGCCATTTACAACCGTTTGTTGTGGTTCTAAAAGGCTATTTTGTGCTTTGTCACAAAATAGTCAATTTTAAAAGTAGAAAAATTAGGCAAAATAATTTTTGATACAAATTTGTAGAGTACTATGGGGACAGTAATAAAATGTTAAAAATAGTCATAGGACCCATATATGTTCACACACACCCCAAAAAACATCACTTTCAATGAGGTCAAATACTATCACTTATACAAAAAAAACTTTTTGCTAAAAAAAAAACATGGCAATCAAACTTAGGATTTAAGACTCAAATGTCTGCTTTGAAAACCAGGGTATAATCTATGTAGATGACCTATAACCAGTTCCTTGAAATAAACATCAAGCCTATGCACATGCCCTATTTCATCTGAAATCTTGCCACTACTTCTCTTAGTTATGCTTTTGATGGCACGAGATGAGGTAAGTGATGTTAAGAGGGGGCCAGATCAAGCAGGATAATGAAAGTCATATTGAATTTTGGCTTTATTCCTAAGTGAAGGTGAAACTATTGATAAAGATTTTAAACAGAGAAGTAAAGAGATTTCAAATCCTTATGTTACCGGTTTAGGTACGCCATTCTCAGCAGTTTCATCTTCATTTCCAGATGGAGGATTATTGGCACTACGAACAACAAAAATAAGTGCATGTGGTCAGTATTTCTTCTGAGAAGTACAGATAAGATATCCTTAGTATTTTTAAGCTATGCCTGATAGTTTCCTAAAATTGTCTCCACTAGATGGTAAGAAAATAAACAGTAAAAACTACCTACTCTGTATTTCTCATGCTTTGCTTAATATTAGAAATAGAATGGAACTCCCTCCAAATTTGTTAATGGTGTCAAATTTGCAATTTAATGGTGGAATATAATTTAAGGTTGTTTTTTTTTTACATTGTAAAAATATGCATCACATTTATACTTATCCTAAATTTTTATCAAACACCCTGTGTGTGTGTGTGCCACAACTAAATGTAATTGTCAAGGACTATGTAAGTTTTCTATTTTCAGATTTGTAATATGATCACATTATCTCTTTTAGTATTCAGTTAACATACATTCTTTTTCCTGGCTTTCTGTTTCTTCACTTTATTGGATGTACTAGTATGTTCCTTGTTGTATAGAAAATAAATTTTAAGATAAAAAAGTTTATCTTCATTTAAGACTGCTTTCCAATTTGACACTAATGATAGCTGCAGATAACTTTTGATGCATTAAAAAACTTTTTTTAAGGCCAGTTATCTTGAATTTGCCGTTATAAAAAAATTGACACAATGGTAAAATACTCTTATTCTCTTATATCTTTTTCACAAATGTCTTATCACAAACACTTGGCCATTAACAATCAAATACAACTTCTAGTACTATAGCGTTAATTGGTTTCTTATTTTTTTAATAATTATAATTTTCATAGTGGGAATTAACCATTAACCTCATTTATAGAAAAGAAAATGCAAGTACAAAGCAATTAACAATTACTTAGGTCAAAGACCTCATTAGATTTCTGCTATCTTCTAAACTTCATTCTGTATCAAGCAATTTCTATATAAATCAATTTAACCTCTCTACCTTGGCATTTTATAATACAATCTCCAAATAAAGTAGAATGAAAAATAAAAAATATAACAGTTTATCTGTTATATTTTCACTGTTCTACTGCTTGATTCAAGAAAACAAACCTGCAACTATATTTCTTTGGTACATTTACTCCTGCTTAAATAAGCTTCCAGATAGCCAGAAAGAAATTCAACTTGTTTATGTCAAAAAACAATATGGTTAGCCAAGACATGGATAGGTAAAACATGAGAGAATTGGAGATAGTAAAATGCAATGGTTAAAAAGAGCATCGGTTTTAATAATGAACCAGTCACAAAGAAGCTGGAGAAAATTCTAACAAGGACTCAGCTCACTTGGGGAAATGCAATTTTGTACCAACATGGATACTAGAACCCTGGTTTGTTGCTCTCTTCCCCAATAAACTTTTAGGAGTTTTAATTCTCTATCACCATTAAAATACTAAAAACATTAAAAAATTATAAACATTTTCTAGAAAAATAAAATCTGAAGGGTAGATCTTTCCCATAAGATTAAATAAATTTAATAGCTCACCAAATAAAGTTTTATTAAGGAATATAAAGACATTTTTGGTAGTACTTAGGCACGGCAAAAGGTACCTCTCCAATAAATTTAATTGAGCTGTGTATTGTGGAATTAAAATTAAATAATGTTTAATCAGAAATAAGCTTCAAGAATTATAACCAAAAACTGGTATTAACAAAAATGAATGAAATAAAAATTAGCTCACAAAAAGGTGTATTTAGTTGTGATTCTGGACCTTGTTATCAATTAATTTCTTAACTAACTGTAAAACCGGGTATAAAGAATTACTTTCGAAATTATAAATTAGACAAATCCTCACCTTATGGCTAAGATTAGCATTAGAAACTAGGTTGAATACATATATTTAAAAGCCAGGTGATAAAATTTCAAATATAGCAATGAGTAGTTTGTTTTTTAAATGTCTTTCTACATAAGGAATAATTTTAGAATAGACTAATTTCAGCATCCCCAAAGCTATTTCTATTTATACTTCTTACTTTGTCTCTCCCTTCACTTGTATTCAAATAGCTTTGAGATATAATTCATACACCACACTATGCACTCATCTCAAATGTGCAACTCAATGGTTTTTAGTATATTTATAGAATAGTTCAACAATAACAACTATCTAATCCCAGAACATTTTCACCAACCTTCCCTCCCCCCAAAAAAATCTTGTATATATTAGTCACTCCCATTTTGCCCTGTACTCAGTCAGGGCAACACTAAGTACTTGTATCTCTATGAATGTACATATTCTGTCCATTTAATATAAATAAAATTATACAATATGCAGTCCTTTGTGACTGGCTTCTTTCACTTAGCATGTTTTCAAGGTTCACCCATTTTGCAAAACACAAATAATTTATTTCCTTCTACTGTCAAATAGTATTCCACTGTATAAATATACTACATTTATCTATCCATTATTTGATGAACACTGGTTATTTCCATTTTTGGCTATTATGAATAATGCTATGAATACTCCTGTACAGAAGGTGTGCGGATATCATCCTTTCCCGAACACCATTTTCTTATGAGATGCTTAGGAACATAACTTTGTTTATACCAAATGACGTATGGCAGAATTGGTCTCGTTAAAGGTAGTTTCACATAAATCTGCAGAACAGAACCTAACAAGTTTTTGCGTAGAAGTTTTCATTTCTCTTAAGATATAGAACAAGGATTGGCAATCCTAAATCATATTGTGACTCTGTGTTTAATCTTTTTAAGAAACTCCAGTCTGTTTTCCAAAGTAGCTGCATCATTTTACAATCCCAACATCAGTGAATGAGGGTACCAATTTCTCTATATTCTCACCAACACCTTGTTGCTGTCTTTATTACAGCCATCCTAGTGGTTGGGAAGTACTATTTCCCCCACTTATTAAAACCAAATATTCCCTAAAAGTCGTTTGTTTTTAACCACCCCTTCCCCATTCATTATAGAACTCTAAGGCCTCTGGTCAGAGTAATGTCAGCATATCCATTAACTTGTATACAGAAGCTTTTCTGAAATTTAGAATTCAGTTTACATGTTCTATAAATGATATTTACACTTTTCCAGTCACCTAATAAAGGGAACTACTCTTGTGTCAGGTTCATTAATTATACTTTGCATTTAAATACAAAATGCTGAAATTATAACCAAAGTGCATTACACCATCATAAATATTCATTGTAACTTAAGATTATGTATTTTTAAAATTTTTAAGTTTTTTCTTAATAGTCTTAATGGATATACTGTAAACTCCACTTAAGAATAAAAAGTTATTTGCCGAAACCGGTTTGGCTCAGTGGATAGAGCGTCGGTCTGCGGACTGAAAGGTCCCGGGTTCGATTCCGGTCAAGGGCATGTGCCTTGGTTGCAGCCACATCCCCAGTGGGGGGTGTGCAGGAGGCAGCTGATTGAGGATTCTCTCTCATCGATGTTTCTAACTATCTATCCCTCTCCCTTCCTCTCTGTGAAAAATCAATAAAATACATTAAAAAAATTAAAAAAATAAAAAGTTACTCAACATTGAAAAGTATTTAAACCCTTACTTAAAAGTATTTAAAATCTTTTTCCCCTCAGCTACTAGCAAATAAACAGACTAATATAAGATTATGTCCTGAAACAGGAATAAACTCCAAAGGATTCGGTGTCTTCCAACCTTTAGTCAAAATGTAATCAAACCCAGGATTACAATGAAATAATTTTAACAACTAGTTGACAGAACCACTTTATCACAGTATCTGTGTTAAGTATCCACAAGAAATTTCACTAACCTGGCATTTTCTTCTTCTGGCCTTTCAACTTCATTTTCATCTACCAAAAAAAAAAACACACACATAAATAAGTAAATAAAATTAACAAACTACTCTTAAAGAAACTAGTAGTATGAAAATCTGAAGTGATCATCACAAGCACTAACCTAGGTCCTTTGCCAAATCACTGTGCACATGCACGTCCCATGGGCCTATAAGCACATCCAAAGTTAGATCACCTTATAATGACTTAATAAGACATGTCTTTTTATGAAAAAATAAAATAAAATCAGACTTTACTCCCATAAAAATAAACTTAAAAGTGGTATTAAAGACTTCTAAATATTCGTTAAAAAATCCCACACATTTACATGTCAAAGAGTATTATTACTGCTAAATCTTGCCACCAAAGATCAATTATTTCATTTTACAAGTTTATCAAAATCAAAGTTTGTCAAAGTCACATCATCGCGGGGCTCAAACCTATACTTCCACTATACTATTCTAAAGACAATCAAGGATATACATTTCTAGCAAGAACAAATATTAATTTTCAAATCTATAACAAACAAGAAGGGGCTGTGACTTAATAACTTAAAAAACAAATGTCTAAAGTGCTTTTCAAAACGGAAGTGCCATGATGTATTACATTTATTTAGAGAAAAACGAATACATGAGATGACTGAAAACTATAAGCCTAAGGGGCATGTTACTGCCATGATGTGAGCTCAAGTGCAGTCTCTTAGAGAAGAAAATTTCACCTTGATACACACAGGAGACACTCGGGGTTTTCTTTATGGGCCATAGTGTATTCCATCTCTTTCTTTCTTTCTCTCTTAGTTATTTTTAATGCACGACTTTCAGACAGGGAGGTACCCTTGCAGGTGCATTCCATACACACTGACCATCAAGAAACAAGACGTTAGTTTCAAAGCATCAACTTTATTGAGCCACTTCACAACAACTGCTGCTTACAGGGTCAGGAAGGGCATCCTACATAGCCCAGGGGCTGGGAGAGACACACCAGCACCGCTCAGAATGGTTTTCTTTAAAAATAAATAAATAAATAAAAAGCGCGGAGGCGAGGTGGCCCAGCAGTCCCGGCCAGGAGGAGGACGAGGGTCCGGGGCGCGACCCCGCCGCCACCACCACCACCAGCGCCTCCGCCGCCGCCGCGGGGTGCGAGCGTGTTTGGGGGTGCGGGCTGGGCGGAAGGAGGCCGCGGCCGGTGGGGAGCACGCACCCCGCGCCCGGCCCGCGTTAGGCCGAACCCGGTTCCGTACCGGAGGCCCCCGGCGCGGCCGTGCGGGGCCAGGGAGGACGGCCGTTTGCGCGCCGGGAGGGGAGGCCGGAGAGAGTCCGGGGGAGGGAGAAAGGACAGGAAGTTCCGTACCGCCATAGAGCCACTCTTCCTCCTCATCCCCTCCGGTCCCGCCGCTCAGCTCCGACACTAGGCGCTCGACCTCGCCGGCCGACATGGCCGCCCCGAGCACCACTTAAAGGCAGCGGTCAACAGCCCCCTCCAACCCCTTCCCCCAGCCTCGCTGCCCGAGGACGTGCGAGAGGCGCGAACCCGCCAGCGAGCGAAGGAGGAGAGCGCGAGACTCAAATCCACGGGACGCGGCTGCTGCGGAGGCCGCGAAGGAGACACGGGCCCCGGCGCGCCTGCGCATGCGCAGCGGCAGCCCGGCGTCAGCGTCGGTAGGTGGCTTTCTTCCGCCGCGGCGGCCCACCTGGACCTCGTTGCGCGTGCGCACCACGTTAGCCCCGCCCCCGTGGGATCCCACTTCGCCGCTTTAACTCTGATTTCTAGCGTGGCTTCCTGCGCACACAGGGATCCTCCTCCCCCTCTGGTTCCTCCCATCACCCATGTTGCTTTGCCTGCCAGTAATCCATTGTCCCATTCTTGAGGCTCTCTCTTCTCAACCTTCTTATCTGTCTTTTTTAATCTTCCGAAAGGCCTTATTTTATTCTTCATATGTTGTGGCAGCCTTTATACAGAATAATTACCTTTCAGCCCTGTTTCTTATTAAGTAATCATAATTCATGTCTAATTTCTTGAAAAATTTTATTTTAACAGCAAACAAAAGCAAAATTAATATGTATATATGAATAATGCATTCTCCTTGTTAAAACAAAACATTACAGTTAAGGTCAAAAACCCCTCATCCAGGAGTCCTTTCCAAAGGACTTGTTTGTTAGCTGTGAATCATCCTGAAATTTTCCACACATTTACTTCAGGTGAATTGTATTGTTTTATTGGGAGAACTCTAGGTTTGCAGGGTATTGCACAGAATGTATCTTTCTGTGAATTGCTTTAAAAAAAAAAAACTCAGCAATGTCTTCAAGATCCTTTCATGTTAATACATATATATCAAACTATTCCATTTTTAAGTATTTCATAATATTGCATAGCATGGCTTTCATAAAGTAAATATGACTATATCTCTGTTCATGTCATTTAGATTGATTACAACTTTTCACTTGAAAACACAAAAAAACCTACAATGAAGATCCTTGTCAATGACTTCTTGCAGATTGGTACAAGTCTTTCTCCAAGAGAGATCATAAAGTATGTCCAGTTTTTATTTTAGTAGATAATGCCAAAATTTCAGGCCACTTTTGAGAGCTCATCTTTCACGATGATGCATCATTGGTTAAAACTGGTGTTCTAGTTCTTAATTGTAACTATCTAATTGCTGACCCCAGGTAATCACCATTTCTATGCTTGTTTTCTTATCTATAACATGGGAAAACTAGATGATCTCTAAATCCCTTTTTCTTATAAAGTTTTCAAACAGGACACTTTTCAACACGAAGAAATCCATTTTCATTTTAATAATTAATCAATATGTTTCCATACCCTCAAACCAATAAACACCATTTTCTGTTTATTTAAGTTACTGAATACTTACCGTTTAAGAAATTTGAAAATAAAGATATAACTAAAACATAGTCCCCATTCTTAAAGAACTCTCTACTCGGAAAAGGTGGTAAGAAATTAGTCCTCCTACAGGAGAAAAGGTGGATATGCTATAAAAAAAATAAAAAATAAAAAATAAAAAATAAACACACACACACATAAAGTGTTTACATCCTAACAATACAACATCATTTTGTCTAATTTAAATAAATCATGTGGTTTTAATCCCCCTTACTTTTAACTCTCTTTTATCTGCTATTCCCAGTCTCCCTTACCTGTTTAGGATAATCCCTGTATCCTTCTGAAATCTGTTGAAATATAATCAACTTTGTGAAATCTTTCCTAAAATTACACTTTATTTCCTCCCATTTTTTTAATTTATTCAACAAATACTTATGTAGGGTCTACCAAGTGCCAGGGACTCTTCTTGGCTATGTAGATTCAGCAGGGAGAAAAACAAAGTCCTCCTCTAGTGAAGCTTTCATTCTGATTAGGAGATAGCCAAAAAACTTAAATGTACAATATCTTACCCTTTACTGAAAGTAACAGAGTAAAGATTTTACATTCTGCTTGGGAGTATCATAAGGCAATCATTTATAGTTTGTTTATCACTAGTTGCCCAGTGCACAGATTCATGCACATGGAAAGGAAATTAATTAGAATAAATATTTTAATATCACTATTCGCCCTTTTTCTATAATAGAAGTGTCAACAAAAAGGGATTTAGAGATCATTTAATTTAGTTTTCCCACTTTATAGATGAGAAAACAATTCATGATCAACAATGACAGAAACACATGCATGCAATTGGCACCAGTGAGAGCATTACATGTATCGTTCATGTGCAAGTCAACATTTATTTTTAAGCCAGGACCGGTTTGGCTCAATGGATAGAGCGTTGGCTTGGGGACTGAAGGGCCCCGGGTTCGATTCCGGTCAGGGGCATGTACCTTGGTTGCAGGCATATGCCCAGTAGGAGGTGTGCAAGAGGCAGCTGATCAATGACTCTCATTGATGTTTCAAACTCTCTATCTCTCTCCCTTCCACTCTGTACAAAAATCAATAAAATATTAAAAACAAACAAAAAGCCCCACAACATTTATTTTTAAATTGTCAGTGTGTGTCATATGTATCTGCCGGTGGGTTAGTCGGACTGTCTGGTGAACAGATGGTCAGACACTTAGTCTTTTATATATATTGATTCCATGAGCATATAATGAACTTTAGTGATTTCGTAGAACAATTTCTTTTTTCTGAGGAGCCTTTTTTTTCCTTTAAGTTGCCTGAAATGAGCTTGTCTTTCAAGACATTAGTTAAACTGAAGAATTACTAGATAATAATAACTGATGCATCAGAATTGCCTTCATGGAGGTAGCATTTTAGCTACGCTTTGAATGGAAGATTCCCACAAGCAGGGAAGCCCATAAATCACTAATAGCCAGTCTTAAAAGTCCTCTTCCTGCTTGCTTTCAAATTGAGTTCCTTGTCTGGATACGCTTCCTTAGTTAAAAGTGTCTTTTTCTTCCTACTCCTTGAGAAAGACTTCAAAGACAGGTAGCTTGAAGATGTATAAAATTAAGACCTTATCAAATTTCAATATTCCATATATTCTGATTATATTTTTATTACTTTTTGTGATTTGTTGGTTCTTGGCAAAACAATAACAACGAAGCGTCAGTCTTAATTGGCTAGCTCTGAGAATCACTGAAAGGAAATGCTTAGTAGATAATTAAATGATGACAAGAGTACAAAAGTTGAAGATCAAATAAAAGTGATTTGCTTAGTATCTAGTAGATAGCAAGTACTCATAAATGTGCTTTAAATGAATGTCATGTAGGCCCAACTGTGCTATTTCCTGCCAACTTTAAATATGTTGCTTGAATCTCAGTGTTCTTCAGTTTACTCATCAGAAAATCAATTTATTAAAATACATTTTACACCCTCTAATTGGGAGGATAACAAAGCTAAAATGAGGCTTAAAATGTGAAAGGATTTAACAAGTTAGTGGCAAGCAGGTGGTATAATATTGGTTCCTACCTTTTGTCCTTTGGACAGCCTGAATATAACTGCACATGTGCACAGGTTTTCTTTCTCTTTAGATATTCCATGAGCAATTAAGCCCCAATTACCCATCTTCTTCTATATTCTTATGTATTTCAACACTAAAATTTACATTGCCAGTTGTTTTTTGGAAAATTAAATCATCTATTATATCTAACTGTTAAATAACCTGCACATTTTTTAATGTTGCTTAAATCTCAGTGTTCTTCAGTTTTCTCATCAGGAAATCAATCTATTAAAATAAATTCTTTAATTTTGAGAAAGTTTGGTGGTTTTTTTCCCCCGTAGTCAGCTGATCCTCTCTTACAATGTCAACCACATGGAAAGTGCTTTGTAAATTCTTAAATTGATCATTCATATGCAGGACTTAGAAATAAGGTAAAGGGAGATATGCTTGATTTTATAAGGCATGGAAAATAATTGCTGGCTATTTTTAGTGAAATACAAGCCACATTTAAATAAGGTAAATATTATAATCTTAAGCATGTAATTTTAGCAGGAATTCATTTACTCTGCCATAACATCTGAGAGCAAAAAATGGAAGGAAGAAAATTCTGACACATATTTAATACAGATGAACCTTGAGGATATTATGCTAAGTGAAATAAGCCAGTCACAGAAAGGAAAATATTATATGATTCCATTTATGAGGTAAATAAAGTTCACTTATAAGGACCACAAAATAGGATGATGGTTGCAGGGGCACGGGAGGGGGACATAGTGAATAATTGTTTAATGGATAGTCTGTATAGAATTTAAAAGCTCTGGAGATTGTTCACAGAGCAATGTGAAAAGACTTAACACTACTGAAATGTACACTTAAAAATGGTTAAGGTGGTACATTTTATGTTACATGCATTTTTTTTACAATTAAAACAATCAGACAAATAAAAACATGTCCCAACCAAACTCAGTACATTTATTCCCCAAACTGCTTCTCTTTTGATTTTCCAAGTAGTCTCAGTGAGGACCACTTAAGTGAGCATTAATCCAAAATGTTCCTTCCCTCTGCTTCACTTGTTTTGTCAATCCAGCCACCAGGCTTTCTGGCCCTGTCTCCTTAACATTTCTTAGACTCCCCTCAATGTCTATCATTGTTACCAGAGACCTCCCCTGAGCAGGTCTGTCTCAGGACTGCCTGGAGTGCCTAGGTTCCTGACTTTGTGTAGAAAAGATTTCACAACAGGAGTCCAGATGGGGTTGAAGGTATGTTTATTAATGCTGAGGACAGAGTAACAAAGGAAGAAACGAGGGGGTAAGAAACAACTGGGGAGAACCCAGGCGGTGCTCTGCCTTGGCTCTCTAGAAATGATACAGAAAGAAGTGAGCCAAGGAGGGGCTGTTATAGCTCACTGGGAAGTCTGAGAAAAGGGGGCCTGGCCTGCACAGGGTCCAGGGTGAGACCTGTGGCACTGCAGCTGCCCACTGTTTTCCTGGATGCAGAACTCATGGGGACCCTTATAAATAAAAAGTTCGTGTTTGGGTAGGGGCATG